CATCAGATCCGGAGTCGGGGGGGGTGCTTCCAAATCAAGCCGCCGTATCCACTCACCAATCTCGCTATGATGGTGAAGATTTTCTGATGGTGAAGATTTTCTGATGGTGAAGATTTCCGCTCCCCATGGACCCCTCGATGCAACACGCAGGGGAGAAACGCCACAACCTTCATCCGTTTATAAACTGGGAAGAAATCGTTTCACTGTACAAAGCAGACCAGCTTGAACCCCACAACTGACAACACTTCGAGCAGCATCACCAGCAGCCCCTTTCTACTGAGCCGACACATCCCATTTGTCCACGAGCAACAACAGGAGTGAGAGTACCAGCGAGCGCCTTACCTCTATCGCAAGGCGGAGGAGGAACATCGGCAGCCCTTCCCCCACCGGTGTGTGCCCCTCGAGCAGCAGGGGTAGCGACGAGATGCAAAGGGCCTGCGCCTCCTCTCCAACGTCTTGTGCAGCAGCAGCACCAGCGGTGTCGTTTGCCCCCCTCTCCTCCCCGCCCTTGCCCTCAACGGAGTCATCGTCGTTGGCGGTGGCGACGACGCTTCGTCGGCGGAGGCTGATCATGAAGTACTCGTCCTAAAGCGCAGCCTTTTCTTCGAGAAGCTTGACTGCGTCCTGGTATTGGGCCGACGACGTCAAGCGACACATGAGAGAGACAGAGGGACACAGAGAGAGAGACACAGAGAGAGGGGGAGAGAGGGAGGGAGAGAGAGAGGGGTAAAGAGAGGAAGAGAAGGAGAGTAAGAAGGAGAGAGAGAGATAGAGACAGGGAGACAAAGAGAGAGAAAGAGGAGAAGGAAGGAGATCAAACACAAGGAACATGAATACAGCAGTCGATGTTGTTGTGCAACCCCACAACCAAAATAAGCAAGAGAGTCAGCAACAATTCCTGTATGGCGCATCCTCTATTATGTACAACAACACACCTGCGCGAGGTCGTCCTTATCACCGTCTATGGCCGTCCACGCCGCCTCGGGCAGGTCGAAAGCGGCGCGGATGAGAGGGAGCACCGGCAACGGAGTCGCCAGGGGCAGCCGAGGCATGGCGCCGAATCTCCGGAGAGTCATCTGGAAAAACGCCTCCTTGCTGAAAAAGACGTGGCATAACCGTGGGGGGGGAGAGGGGGGTACCCACGTTTCGCATGCCTTAGCGGTTAGACCATTGGCCATGTGCCCTCGAGAGGACGAAGAAAGACCCGGGGGGGGTGCAGTTTGTTCCTTGTTTGCTACTTATCATGCACAGCTACTGTGTGCCGAACGTGCCGCGTCGCATGCTTACGGTACGGGCAAGGGGGGCGGGAAGGCGTCGTGTTTTCGCCCACTGTACGCCAGCTCTACACCACCGAGCACGAAGAAAGCCACACAAGCAACGCCAGCTACCATGTCATAGGCGTTTCCTCTCTCGAGGGGACACATCATTTTTTTTTGTGCTGTAGCTTTGGTCTCGAGTAGTAGTGGTGTCCTGACGTTTTGTCGCCGGAGGCCTCTTGGGGCGGGGACGGAAAATTAGCTATGAACCCATTACGGGAGAACTTGAGTGACCAAAATTAAAGCGGTCGGCAGCAAAAGCTACGAACGAAGCTCTGGTGTGCTGTGTTCCACTTAAAAGAAGCAGCACGCACCATTGCCTCAACAACAACAACAACAACAACAACAACAACGGCAGCCTACCTGAGCGCCGTGTGGTTGACGAGCACGAGCTTGGTGTTGAACTGGAGCAGCGAGAGGTGCAAGTCGACCATGCCCACGAAGGAGTACTTCCTGAGCATCTGCGTCAGTCCCTTGTGCGCCTGAAGGCACAAACAAAAAACGGGAGGTATCGTTGACGGCTTTGATGTTTCACATGTGACCCCGGATTGCAGCCTTCTCCGCAAAGAGGAACGGGTGTACACAGTGGGTAGATAGCGCGGCCGACGGTAGCGGACGAGGTTCTGAAACACACAAAACAACTAGAGCCATGTCTTGACGTTGGTGTCACGGCAGCCGTGTGAGTGTTGCACAGCAGCAGTCCCTTCATTTGAGAAAGAACAGCAGCCGACTGGTGTAGCCGCTGCAAGAAGCACACCAGAGCGCTATGTCATTGTGGGATTTGAGTTCAAGGATTTGAATGGTAGTTTTTGGTAAGATATATTGTTGTGGCGGAAATTGCAACTCCCTGGGATAGAATTATAGCAGGGGATGAGCCATAACGTAGCCCCTCTCTAGAGGTAGCGCTGCTACCAAAGAGAGCGAGGCAACAAACAGCAAGCACTGCTATTGCACGAGGTTAATCTTCATCAGGGTCTTGAGGGATTGCTACGGGTGTGAACCTCGCAACAGTTTGATAGTCTCTTCTCTCTCGCTCTCTCATCGCTCAACTTCCCGCCGCTACAAGTACCGCCGTTTGACTCCCCCAAACATTTCGCCAGAAACAAAACGCTGTATCTAACAACCCACCATGTGTGCGTGTGTGTCATCCCCCCCCCAAAAAAAAAAAAACGCACAACCATGAGCATGCCTCCACGCACAACCGAAAATCTCCACGACTCCCCCCACCTCGCCCTTCAGGTTTCAGCCCTGTCTCACTCGCCTGCGTCTTGAAGTCTGCGATAAGCGAGCGGACGCTGTTGTACTTGACGCTGGTCTCAACGAAGGTGTCCGGCCGCCTGTGCTGCTGCTGCGCTCTCACCGCCGCCGCCTGGCTGCTGCTACTGCTGTCCTGAGAAGAAGGGGTTCCTCGGTAGGGGACGCCATCGATACCATCCCCGGGGGTGCCGCTGCTGCTGCTACTGCCGCCAGTCGCACCCGCTCCCTGCGTCAAAACAATGGACCCGTCGGGGCCTCGCGGGGCCCTGCCTCCGCAGCAGTTGCAGTTCTGGTGTGGGCCGCCGAGCTTGCTTATGCCCGCGAACGGCTTGGCCTGCTTCTTCCTTTTCGACGGTTTCATCTTGTTCTGTTTGTTGTTGCTACTAGGCTTCGTCTGCGGCGTTTTTTCCTCGTCCGGGCGTTCCGCCTCTGCTGCCACCGCGCCGCCGGTACCGTTGCCAGCACTCGGCTTTTCTTGTGATCGATCCCCGCTAGTCGCCACCGAGGCGGAACATTTCCCCTCCTCCTCCTCCTGGCCCACGTTGTCCGATTGCCCGACGTCGGGTTCCGGGCACACACACATGACCACATCGCCCTCCTCTCCTCCCTCGCCCTCTTCATCTTCGGACGAAGAAATCTCCGTTTCGGCCGGCCCCTCGGCCCCGCCAGCGGCCGCCGCATCACCATCCTCCTCGTTCGTACGTCCCCTCTTCGCCTTCCGTCCGCGNGGCGGAACATTTCCCCTCCTCCTCCTCCTGGCCCACGTTGTCCGATTGCCCGACGTCGGGTTCCGGGCACACACACATGACCACATCGCCCTCCTCCTCCTCCTCGCCCTCTTCTTCTTCGGACGAAGAAATCTCCGTTGCGGCCGGCCCCTCGGCCCCGCCAGCGGCCGCCGCATCACCATCCTCCTCGTTCGTACGTCCCCTCTTCGCCTTCCGTCCGCGCCCGTCCTCGTCTACGTCGGAAGACCTACCACTGCCGCCTCCGCGAGCCTGGCCTCTCTGTTTGTTGCTCCCGCCGGGCTGAGAGGACGGCTGGAAAGGAGAGAACAGCGCCGGCTGCTGCGACAGCCGCAAGAAGGCGTCCAGGTTACCGGCCGTGCGGTCCGTTTACACCAGCTTCTGAGGCGCCACAGACGCCACACTCCCCCCAACACCACCAGGCGATTGCTTCTTTCTCTTGCCGCCGCTACCACCCGAGGGTGACGATTCGCGATCCCCCCCCCGGGACGAAGACCTACGGCGCCCCCCGCCACCCGGTGACGACGACGCGAACGAATCGAGGTCTACCACCCCTGCCCTGCCTCGCTTCCGTCCGCTCCCGCTCCCCCTTGCCGCTTGTCCACCCTCCCCGGAAGATGATCCAGCGTCGCCCCCTGCCTCCTCCTCGTCACCTTCGTCGCTTTCTACCATGGCCTCGAGGCCGACATTGCGGGGGGCGGGCGGGGAGCGGCGGGACGATAACCGCTGACTAGCGGAGGCGCCACAGCCGCCGCCGCTGCCTTCAGGCGGAGTGGGGCCTTCGGTATCCGGGGATGCATCCCCTCTGTCCCCGGGATTCTTACTGCTGGTCCCGGCTGCGGCCGTCGTTGTGGTGGTTTCAGGCGTGCCGAAGTCCATGTCTGGAAGGATGACCTTCAGTGTTTACAGAGGCAGATGATCGCAGGGTAGAGCGTTGCACGAGCGTGTTTTGTGAAGGTAGTGGATATCAACTGACCCGGGGGGTGCGGCCTTCGGCGCCGAAGGGCTATATTCGACAACCTCCTCGATATACGTCAGCACCAGCGACGACGTCAGCAGTACCACACCGTCATCACCACCACCGTCACCAATACTTTCGCCGGAAAAGAGGCGTGAAATACAGCCTAAGCTATTGGCGCATCGTCAGTCGAAAAGTCATCCCGCACCCAAGGTGCCTATGGTACCTGACTGTAGAAGGTTCTGGACTGGTTCGCGCCCGCCAGCTTCTGTTCCATAGCCTGCCGGAGGCACTCCAGCAACTCCTCTTGGTGCAAGAAATGAACCTGCCGCGAAAGGGAAACAAACAAAAACACACAAACCCATTAAATCCGGAGAGCACTTTAGCCTCCCCCATGACGCCCCTTCACGGGGTCCCAGATCAGTGTCGCACTGAAACCGACGTCTTTTCATTGGTCAGCCCGCCCGCTAGCGCGGTCGATGCAAATAAAAAAGACACAAACGCACACACAAGATAAGAACACGGTGTCAGGATGCAAATAGCAGAACGGTGAGACGCTCGTTGTTGTTGTTGTTGTTGTTGTTGTTGTTGTTGTTGTTGTTGTTGTTGTTGTTGTTGTTGTTGTTGTTGTTGTTGTTGCTGTTGCTGTTGTTGATGTTGCTGTTGTTGATGTTGCTGTTGCTGTTGTTGATGTTGATGTTGTCTTCACGTTAAAAACAGTTCCAATCTCTCTCTACCCAGAACCTTCATCTTTCCGTACTGATCAAGACTTGACCGATCGATTCCCGTGGTCACAGACTAGCTTGCCTAAAAAAGCTATACTCAAAATAAAATGGACTCGAATGGTCCGCAAGCCAACAGAAACCGACGGCGGACAATCTGGGGCTCACCGACCCCCTCTACACACACGCGGTGTGCGGCAGAAATGAACTGAAATTCGAACATCATCGGCCAGAGAGAGAGGTGCATCCCCTGATTTCAATCTTGATACTGCACAGCGAAAGAGAAAAGGTCTCGCGGGGAACACACGAAAAGGACAAAAGAGAAAAAAAAATGGAAGAGAAAGAGGCAGGAAGACAAAGAAAAAGTACTCCGGAGTAACCCCCTGCCTCCTCCTCGTCACCTTCGTCGCTTTCTACCATGGCCTCGAGGCCGACATTGCGGGGTGCGGGTGGGGAGCGGCGGGACGATAACCGCTGACTAGCGGAGGCGCCACCGCCGCCGCCGCTGCCTTCAGGCGGAGTGGGGCCTTCGGTATCCGGGGATGCATCCCCTCTGTCCCCGGGATTCTTGCTGCTGGTCCCGGCTGCGGCCGTCGTTGTGGTGGTTTCAGGCGTGCCGAAGTCCATGTCTGGAAGGATGACCTTCAGTGTTTACAGAGGCAGATGATCGCAGGGTAGAGCGTTGCACGAGCGTGTTTTGTGAAGGTAGTGGATATCAACTGACCCGGGGGGTGCGGCCTTCGGCGCCGAAGGGCTATATTCGACAACCTCCTCGATATACGTCAGCACCAGCGACGACGTCAGCAGTACCACACCGTCATCACCACCACCGTCACCAATACTTTCGCCGGAAAAGAGGCGTGAAATACAGCCTAAGCTATTGGCGCATCGTCAGTCGAAAAGTCATCCCGCACCCAAGGTGCCTATGGTACCTGACTGTAGAAGGTTCTGGACTGGTTCGCGCCCACCAGCTTTTGTTCCATAGCCTGCCGGAGGCACTCCAGCAACTCTTCTTGGTGTGAGAAATGAACCTGCCGCGAAAGCGAAACAAACAAAGACACACGAACCCATTAAATCCGGAGAGCACTTTAGCCTCCCTCATGACGCCCCTTCACGGGGTCCCAGATCAGTGCCGCACTGAAACCGACGTCTTTTCATTGGTCAGCCAGCCTGCTAGCGCGGTCGATGCAAATAGTAAAGACACAAACGCACACGCAAGATAAGAACACGGTGTCAGGATGCAAATAGCAGAACGGTGAGACGCTCGTTGTTGTTGTTGTTGTTGTTGTTGTTGTTGTTGTTGTTGTTGTTGTTGTTGTTGTTGTTGTTGTTGTTGTTGTTGTTGCTGTTGCTGTTGTTGATGTTGCTGTTGTTGATGTTGCTGTTGCTGTTGTTGATGTTGATGTTGTCTTCACATTAAAAACAGTTCCAATCTCTCTCTACCCAGAACCTTAATCTTTCCGTACTGATCAAGACTTGACCGATCGATTCCCGTGGTCACAGGCTAGCTTGCCTAAAAAAGCTAAAATAAAATGGACTCGAATGGTCCGCAAGCCAACATAAACCGACGGCGGACAATCTGGGGCTCTCCGACCCCCTCTACACACACGCGGTGTGCGGCAGAAATGAACTGAAATTCGAACATCATCGGCCAGAGAGAGAGGTGCATCCCCTGATTTCAATCTTGATACTGCACAGAGAAAGAGAAAAGGTCGCGCGGGGAAGACACGAAAAGAACAAAAGAGAAAACAGAAATGGAAGAGAAAGAGGCAGGAAGACAACAAATAAAAAGTACTCCGGCGTAGTAAAAACACAAAATCATAATTTAAGACACACGCCACAATAACAAGCGACCAAAACCCAATCAGGGCCACCGGCAACAGCAAAGGCATGTCATCACTCGTGGGGGGTTGATGCGATGGTGCAATCGCGGAGAGGGGGTGGTGCTGTGTGTTCGTGCAGAGATGTATGTAGCGTGCGCGTTGTTGAGAATGTAGAAGTATAAACATGAGGATAGTTTTTCAAGATCCGTTNCGCGATGGTGCAATCGCGGACGGGGGGTGGTGCTGTGTGTTCGTGCAGATATGAATGTAGCGTGCGCGTTGTTGAGAATGTAGAAGTATTAAACATGAGGATAGTTATTCAAGATCCGTTTCGAGGGCAAGTCGGCGGCAACCAACTGCTTTCTCGTAGACAGTGAACAAGTGGACGACAACCGCACGCTCCAATGCCGTGCACCCACGTACTACATCGTATTTTTCATTCTCGAACAACTCTTCTGGAACTCGGAAGTCTGAATAAAAAACGCTCTCGTCTGCGTGCAGGCTTAGACTTGCTCTTCAGCCAGACTTGCTTTTGGGAATACATACCTTGTGGGTACCCCTGAGTCTTGGGCCTCTCCCTTGCCTGGGGCACGACCAACCAACCACAGCTTTTTGCAACTACGGTACGTAACATTCGACACTCCCTGGAACGATTTTCAAAGCTCGACGGCTCCGCAAGAAAAAGCGGTGACAGTGCCGAACTATTGCAGCGTTGGGACCGTCTCGCCGAGAGCTTTCCGAACACGTACTTCCTCATTCAATGTGGGCATCATTCTCTTCGTCGTGGAGAAACCCAGAGCCTTGAA